AATAATAATAATAATAATAATAATAATAATAATAATAATAATAATAATAATAATAATAATAATAATAATAATAATAATAATTTAAATGACAATTGCCCAATTCTAATTTTGAAACTCCTAGGAACTCCAGATACTGTAGATTGTCTACATTTATTTCTCCCCTATTCCTGCCCCTGCTGGGAATAGCAAGAGAGTTTTGTCCTCATTTTCCCTTCAGGCCTATTGGTCATTCAGCTCCAGCTCTAAGAGACATGGTGGCTCAGAGGCTTAATGATGCTGGAGATGGTCTCTGCTCTGGCAGTTCGAGCCTTAGCACTGTGTGGCAGGGTGAACTCCTGTCACTTGCCTCCGTTTCTATCCCCCTAACAGTTCGAAAGCATGTTCTATGCAAGTAGACAAATAGGTACCACTTTGGTGAGGAGACAGCTGGTGCTCTGTGCAGGCAGTCAGATTCCTGATGGCTCTGAACCTTCCTGTTTGTGAGGTGGCTCTGGGAAGGGAGGGGGTCATCTTTTTCTCTGGTGCCACTCTCCTGTGGCACATCTTGGAAGTGCACAAGCATTTCCTATAAGGGGGCTGGTACCTTGGCAAGCCAAACTATTACTCTGCACTAGCACTGTGGTCTCCTGGCTACTGCAACATCACCATACAACAACAACAACAACAACAACAACAACAACAACAAGAAGAAGAAGAAGAAGAAGAAGAAGAAGAAGAAGAAGAAGAAGAAGAAGAAGAAGAAGAAGAAGAAGAAGAAGAAGAAGAAGAAGAAGAAGAGGAGGAGGAGGAGGAGGAGGAGGAGGAGGAGGAGGGGAAACAACTAGAAAAAATAACGAAATACTGCAATCTGCACATTGAAGTTGAGTGATTGTAGAGGAAGAAATCAATAGTTGTACCAAAAGTAATAGGAGCCCTTGGAGCAATACCAAAGTGTTGCATAGATACATGGAAATTTTGAACTTATCAGACCTAAATATTCTGACTTTGTAAAAAAACCCGACCTTCCTCGGAAGTGCCTATATACTCAGACGTTCCTTTAACAGCTCTTAGGTCCTTGATTAGGACTTGAACTGTTAAGTGTTTGCCAGTCCCACACTATGAATTGAATTGAAGATATATTATTATTATTATTATTATTATTATTATTATTATTATTATTATTATTATTATTATTATTATTATTACCTTCTTCTTCTTCTTCTTCTTCTTCTTCTTCTTCTTCTTCTTCTTCTTCTTCTTCTTCTTCTTCTTCTTCTTCTTCTTCTTCTTCATTATCGTTATTCACCATCAGTCAATTGCAAAAGGTACCTTTACTGGGGACAGCTTCCATCCTGCGACGATAGGTAGATAGGTAGACAAATATGCCAAATACAGTCTGAACATCTGGCTGACTGTGCGATGATTAATAATAATAATAATAATAATAATAATAATAATAATAATAATAATAATAATAATAGCAGCAGCCCCAGCTCTTTCTTATTTCCTTAGCTTATGAACAGAAGAACATTGAAATGCATCACCTATTGCTTACCTCCGGGATTTTTTTTTAAAAAATTCACTTTTACCAATAGCCATGGTATTTTTCTAACGTTTTTCCATGCAAATATTAACCAGGTCAGACCTTGCTTACATTTTTCAAAGTAAATTTTTCAAGATAAAATACCACTTTATAACACCTTGGTATACTGGAATACTGCATCCACTTTTGGTCATCACAATGTAAAAAAGATGTTGAGACTCTAGACAGAGTGCAAAGAAGAGCAACAAAGATGATTAGGGGACTGGAGGCTAAAACATATAAGGAACGGTTGCTGGAATTGGGTATGTCTAGTTTAACGAAGTGAAGGATGAGGGGGGACATGATAACAGTGTTCCAATATCTCAGGGGCTGCCACAAAGAAGAGGGAGTCAAACTATTCTCCAAAGCAGCTGAAGGCAAGACAAGAAGCAATGGATGGAAACTAATCAAAGACAGAAGCAACCTAGAACTAAGGAGAAACTTCCTGACAGTTAGAACTTAATCAGTGTGACTGCTCCAACACTGGAAGTTTTTAAGAAGAGACTGGACAGCCATTTGTCTGAAATGGTATAGGGTTTCCTGCCTGTGCTGGGGGTTGGAGTAGATGACCTCCAAGGTCCCTTCCAACTCGATGGTGATGATGATGATGTCAGTGTGAACTGGCTGCTACCTCAAGAGAGGGGGCATAAAGGTATGAACTCCTAGATTTACCTAACTGCATTACTACAGCCAAAGGTGTTACATACAAGTCCTGATGTGATTTTTAACTTTCTGTGCTTAGCCAGGAATCAAGAGGATAATCTGCAACTATTAAGTGAGTAATTTCATATTCATCTTATTTTCCTCTGCAGGGAGACAGTTCCTTTGTGGTGATGACTAACTTTATTATCACCCATGGGCAGAAACAGGAAACATGTCCAGGGGTATGTAGCTTGATATTGTCACTGCATATATTTTAGTTTATTTGTGTTCTGTAGGATGCCATAGAGATAACCTCAGAAAAAGAATGTAAAGTTAGCAAAATTTGTATGAAGCCAGAGAAGACAATGTGAGGAAGAGACTGAAGGTTGCCCTGCCTTGACTTTCTGTAGCATAAAAAAGATGAAAGGAAATGTTATCAAGCTTTTAAGATGCTATTATTGTAAATCGTAAATCCTTATAGTAGAGTTTCAGTATGCCTTGCAGAGTCTGTTTTCTGATTTAGTTTACCTCAAATCTTGAAAGCCTGACATTTCCCCTTCTCCCTCTCTTACATCGATGAAAGTCAAACATATTAAGTTTGTTCTTACGCTATCTGCTCTCCCCAGATTTAATTCATAACTTGCTAATGATATTTGCATTATTTCTCCAAGATCATCGCTGCAATTTTCTACTGCACATTCTCACTGGGGAAATGATAGCAAAATTCTTAAAATACATCTGAGAATTGCAGATGCAAAATATCTGAGGAGGTACCATAGTGGGGAAAGCTGGTAAACAATCAAAATTGTTTGAAGAACACCGTCTTCACCAAACAGCACCATCCTGTATATAAGATAGAAGTAACGAGAACCTCAGATTGACTTTCATACAAAGTGTAGAGTCCCCAAGATTTTCAGGAGTGTCTCTCTGTCATTCATACCACACTTACACACACATTTAAATAGGAAGTGGGGGATAATTCCACCCCCCAAAAAATTAATGAGAACTGAGCGTGCTTTTGTGCATCCAAAATACTTGGAAAGCAGAAAAAAACCCAAAGGATAGAAGGAAAAATATAATTTGTTGGAAAACGACAGGATTAGTTGACACGAATATTGAACAGAAGGGTTTCACATGTTCTCAAAGGTCCTACTTGTTTCTATATCTATTTGGATAGTCTCTCACATTCCCTATGTGTTGACATTTGTGGTTAATATCTAGTTAAATATTTGCTGCAGTGAATGGCAGAAGTAATCATGCTGTGGGGATTCCTTCCTCTTTTTTAAAGAAAGATCCATAACCTGAAGACACTACCATGGAAGAAGAATGCCAAGGTGCTCACAGAAACCTCTCTTGATATTCCCTCATACTCCATCATCTCACTCTTTTTCTGAAAACAGAAAGGCTGCAAAACACATTCCCTTCAATATAATTGGTATTTCCAAAATATATATCTAAATGCCACTGACTCTCACCCCCCCAACTCCTAATGAGTTTCACAAACTTGCTTAGTAATAACAATGGCAACTACCATCCAACAGTTTGTCTGAAAGACCCATCCAAAAAAAGAACAAGAATAATGTAATGTAATGGTGTATGGGAAAGAACCTGGGAGACAGAGCAGAGACATTGCCAAAGGAACCTTCAGATAAGAAGCAGCGTAGCCTTTAGTTGGATAGTGGGCAAGGCAAGAAGCTCAGAAGAGACCTTCCCTAGTTTCTCAGACTGTAAAAGGGAAGGAGAATGTACTTTCAGACTTGCAAGATTCTATCAATGCAGCTTTACAATTAAGTAGCATTAGCTCATATGGTTATGGTTATGGAACCCCATAGCATCCTGCAAGAAGGGTGACTAAAGAAGAATGCAAGTTGAATTCTTTGTAAGTGATGATGTTCCCATAGCAGCCATTTTGTGAATGGGCAACCGTCTCCCGACCAGCCATGTTGCAATTGTACACCAACATGCCCACCAACCAAAAAAGATTCTATAGCTAACCCCTCGCTTAACTATACTAAACTCATGGAGTTTTTGTTTATTCGGTGATATATTTTAAAAGTTCAGCTTTCTATCATTTGCATAACTGAGTCTCTGTAGTCACACATTTTTAAAATAGAATGTTAAATGTTGTCTTACTGGGCAATGAGGTCTAGCAAGACTGTTAGGAGGGCTTGCAGTCACCCTGTCCTTTCCTTATTGAGTTGCTTCCATTTTTCTCCTCTTTGCAGCATCCTGAGAGTGAGAAGTGTAACAATGACAGTAACTGTAATAAAGGACAGTTTCTTCGCCGAGGTCAAGGTGAGAAAGAAAACTAGTTTAAGCTCTAGATACACAGCAAACTTAATCAGGTCAAATGTAGCCCAATGATTTTCTCATGGTCTCTTATCTGAGTACAGGTAGTCCTCGACTTACAAGAATTCATGTAGTGATCATTCAAAGTTGCAATGGCACTGAAAAACATGACTTATGACTGTTTTTCACATTTATGACCATTGCAGCACTCCCATGGTCACGTAATGAAGATTCAGACACTTGGCAACTGACTCATATTTACCGCAGTGTCCCGGGGTCATGTGGACCTTCTGACAAGCAAAGTCAATGGGGGAGCCAGATTCACTTAACAAATATGTTATTAACTTAACTGCTGCAGTGATTTACTTAACAATTGCGGGAAGAAAGGTTGTAAAATGGGGCAAAACCCATTTAACAAATGTCTCATTCAGCAACAGAAATTTTGGTCCCAATTGTAGTTGTTACTTGAAGGCTATCTTTTGCATCACACACTAAAAGCTTGGTTTCTGTTAACCTTGATTTGATTGTTTTTATGATTTAATGTGTCCTATGAACTCATATGATAGTATTAGTTTATAATTCAATGTATTGTGTGAACGCAATGCCATTATACTGTATATATTCGATAAAGAAAGTCACTTCCTTGTTTATGTTACTTGTCATGTGATTTATTAGACATACTTAAAAAAAAAAGTTTAAAAGAATTTTCCTGGCATGTTTATAGTCCAATATCCTGTTTTCCATAATGACTGATGGGAAACCCACATACAGCTTATACATTGACTATGAACTGACATGAGATTTTTTCTTTAATTTCTCATTTTTGAAAATATGCCTGTTTTGGTTCTTCCACTATTTCATTTTGTGAATAAAGTTTTAAGATTAGATTTGTAGACAAAGTTTTGCCATTTCCTTAATGCAACATATTTTTCATGAGGATATGCATGTTATATATATTCCCTAATGCTACTGTTTAAACTGTTGACACACTGCATTGCCAAATACAGAGAACCATGAAATTTGAACATACCTAAGCTTCCCATTTGAATATTGATTCAAAAATCCTAAATTACAGTGCATTTAACATTTAACAGGTGTAAAAAAAGAGCGACTAAGAGGGGAAAAATGAGGACAGATAACAATCAATGGCCTTGTGATGCTGACAAATTGTTTTCCAGGAGCTGGGGAGAGGAAGGAAATTGGGGTTAAGGTTTTGAACAGAACCATTTATATTGCAACATTTTGAGGCTCTTCCTCTATTATTGTTTCATTGCTTGTTGCTGTTAATATAAATGCAATAGAGCAGCTTTCTCAATCTTGGCAACTTTAAGCTGTGTGGACTTCAACTCCCAGAATTCCCCAGCCAGCATGTCCACATAGCTTAAAATTGACATGGTTAAGAAACACTGGCATAGAGGGGTAAGAAAAGTTAGCAATACAGGTAGTCCTCGATTTACAACACAAGTCTCCGAAAAAGAGACTTATGGCAGGGGCATCAAACTGCCAGCCCGCGGGCCAGATGCGTCATGTCGAAACCGCACCCACCCCATTGCCGGCAATGGAAAAAAGAGACGATACGTCGCAACACGTCACGTGACATTGCGAGTTTGACACCCCTGACCTATGGATTCGAAGTTCAAACATCTGTCCTCACCTGCATCACAGTCACATGAGTGGATTTTGGGTACTCAGCAACCAGTCTGCATTTATAGTTATTTGCAGTGCCCCGTGGTCACGTGGCCACAATTTACGTTTCTGCTAGAAACCGGTATTTACTTCCTGTTTGCAGCAAAACTACCCCATAGCAAATAATGGATTCACAACATCCATGTTTTTTTTTCTGAATGATCCTGGCATTTGCTTTACCACTGCCACAAAAATTGAGTCCCATAAAATTGAGTCCTATTACCATCACAACTTACAATCATAATGGCGGAGCTCTGCTATGTTTGTAACTTGAGGACTACCTGTATAAGAATATAATTATGTGGACACATACAGAGAGCATTTAATGATGATAGATTAAATTAATAAGTTCTAAATTCTGCATGAGGACAAACAATAATATTAACATTCCAAAAGAGTTAGGTTTTCAATTTTAAATTGAAAAAAAAAACATATTGCCCAAAATGAAAATAAGAATACTAATCTCCTTGGGGAAAGATTTTCTTAAATGCGATTTTCTTAAAAAATGAAAAAGGGTCAAAATGACATCAATTAGAAACAGTTTATAAGTTAAATCTGGTGATGATCATCAACTGGAAACTCAACTAGGCTCATACAATATGCTAAAGATTAAATCTGAATAATTATGTGTTCCCATAGCATGCAATAGCCAAAGAGATAAACCTATTAATTGGATTTCCGTAACACAGAATCACAGAATAGGAAGGGACCTTCGATGTTAGCTATTCAATGTTCTGCTCAGTGTAGGATCTACTGCAGCGTCTCTTCACCAAATGATCATCCAGCCTCTAAACATCTTCAATCACTAACTGACCTATCATATAGTCCTGAAGTTCTTCCTGTCACCTCTAGCCTGAACTTCTTCCCTTGTAGTTTTAATTCCTTGTTTCTGATCTGGCTCTCTGCACTCCCTCTTCTCCACAATGTCCCTTCAGATATTTGAAGAGATTGCTGTTATATCTTCCCTCAGTGGTCTAAGGCTAAGTATACCATAAATCCTTTATCTGTTCTTGATGGAATCTGATTTCCAGACCCTTCACCATCCTAGCAGCCATCTTCTAAATTTACTCCAGTTTATTACAGTAATTTTATTTTTGAATGCTGGTCCTGAGAATTGGACATATCATCCCAGATGGAGAAAGTAGAGAAGAATTATTACACCCTGAACTGCACAATTGTTAGCTTTGATTGTGTTATGTTGTATCTTGAGTTTAAGAAGCAATAACACAGAGAGAGGAGTAATACAGGGTGGTCTTTAGTTCAAAGGCTCTATTTGGTTCATGATGGTATCTAGGGTGATGTTCATTCACATTTTGACTATACTTTCCTCAGGAATCATGACTGGGAAGTGTGTGAATTTTACCCGTACACAGAAGTCCTGTGAGATATTTGGCTGGTGCCCTGTTGAAATTGATGACAACATTCCCAAGTAAGAAATGGCGGGGGGGGGGGGGACAGGGGTTTCTGTTCATAATGATGCTAAATCTCAAGAAGGAAGAATTAGTCTTCTATGGATGCCAGTATTTCCATGTATTTTCACACCTACGCATCAATATTTATGTCTTACAGTCCACCGTTGCTTCTGGAAGCTGGAAAGTTTACCTTGTTTATAAAAAACAGCATTACTTTCCCCAGGTTTGGGGTTTCCAGGTAAATCAAGGATTCTTGTAACTATAAGCTACAGCCCTTTTGTGAGGGTGGATTTTATTATATTTGGTGATTTATCCATCCATCCATTCAAAACATTTACAGGTGTCCTTTATTTATTTATTGTATTTCGATTCTGTCCATCTCACTTGCGTGACTCTGGGTGGTTTACAAATAGAACCATAAGATCATATAAAAGCCATAGTTAAAACAAAGTAAAAAAAATGGAATTAAAACAAAATTAAAAAGAACAAATGAGAAAGTTAAAAGGCAGAGTGCTGTCAACCTCCAGGATTGGTTAAGCAGACTTTTAGAGTATTGTATATCTTTTAAAATTTGTCTTACTGAAGAACTGAGATGGCTTACTTCTCGGCTACAAATATTGCCTTATGATATTTTTAATACACCTATTATTATAATCATTATTCAGATCTTTATATTTTCCCTATCTGGTTCATACTGAGATGCTTAAGAGATGTAACATAATTTGAATGTAGTTATACTGTGAGCTAAGAACAATGAAACAAGTTGAGATGATGGTTTGCTTTCCTCTAACACAGACGCAATCTTGTTGAGCAAGTTACTGAACACTATCTGAAGAAATGTGTTTATCACAAAGACAAGGATCCACTGTGCCCTGTGTTTAAACTTGGACATATGGTGGAAGAATCTGGACAGAATTTTTCTCAACTTGCTTTTAAGGTGAGGCTGTTCTGAATGGTCAGAGACACAAAAAGTTGACAGACCATAGGCCGAGCCCACAGGATCCAATAGAAGCCACAATGATCTCACATGCTTGGCATGAATTATATTATTAAAATGGCATAAATTATATTATTTGCACAATGACATGATGTACATGACATCGCTTTCTTCTTTGCAACCCTCCCCACCGCAGAAGCAATCTGATTTGCGTAACTTTCCTCCATCATACCTCAGTGTGCCTTTTCAAGAGGCAACTGAATTTCCTTTGCTTTTCCTTGAAGACCTTTTGCTTCTCATCCAAGAAGCTTCTTCAGTTCACTAAAGAAGCTTTTTGGAAGAGAAGCGAAACATCTTCAAGGAAAAACAAAGTCCAGTTTCTTCTTGAAAAAGTACCTTTGGGACAGCCATGGCCTGGATGACTAAGAATCTTCATAGACACATACCCTTCATGATTCACAAGACAGTTTGTCACCCATAAAAGAAGAGGAATTTCAGGGGCAAAAAACTATGATAGAAGGTTATATGTTTACTTAAAAGCAAAAGGCCTTAAAGCTTAGTGTCAACTGGTCCACTGTAAAAGTACTGTTGCCCCCTTTATGCAGCAATTTTGCTTCACCAGTCAGTCAGTGTCATTTCCTTGTGATCTCTGTAGAGTGTGAACAATTTGGCATCTAATGGCCACTTTAGGCTGCTCCTCTCCATTTTGGCTCCTCAGTGGTATAAGATTTAGCCTCTAGACCACGGCTCCCCAACCACCAGTACCGGGCCACGGCATGCCAGCAACCAGTCCACATAAACAAGCAAAGCCCCATCCGTGGGATGCAGGCAGCACACAAAACAACGCCCCTTCCGGTCCATGGAAAAACCTCTCTCCACGTAACCGGTCCCTGGTGCCCAAAAGGTTGGGGACCTCTGCTCTAGAACCCTTATCACCTTTGTTGCTCTTCTCTGCACACTTTCCAGGGTCTCAACATCTTTTTTGCATCATGGGGACCAAAACTGGACACTTGCTGCTTCATTGCATAGTTTTCTCTATACCTATCAGCCATTGTTCAGGTTGTTTTTGAACATAGGTTTAGTATTCTTCCAGCATAGTGCTAAACGTGTACCCCAAAGTACTATGATAATCAGTTTTGTTTTGGTGTGATGTCTAAAAGATCTAGAATGACAGAGTAGCATTAAACCCTTATACCAGTGATGGCGAACCTTTTAGAGACCGAGTGCCCAAACTGCAACCCGAAACCCACTTATTTATCACAAAGTGCCAGGGCTACATCAGCATTGTGGTGCCCTCAGGGGGGGCATGGGGGCATGGCCCATTGGGTGGGCATGGCTGCAGTGGTCACGGCAGACTGGGTGAGTGTGGCCGGGGCCAGGGTGGCGGGGACCAGTCCCTCGCCATCTCCGGGGCATCCCTGGGGGGCCAACGCCGCTTGCTCGCTCTCTTCCTGCCCTGTCGCTTCTAAATGCCATGTGCTTGCTACTATGGCGAACTCTGCTGGGGCAACGGCGCGCATGCCCACAGAGACGGCTCTGAGTGCCACCTCTGGCACGCGTGCCATAGGTTTGCCACCACTGCCTTATACCGTTAAATGTATATATAAAAAACTCCTATGCCACATTATAATACGTTTTGACAGATGGTTAAACTTGCTATTTATCAAAACTCCCTTCTTATGAAGCTGTAGCCCCTTCTCGGAAAATGATTGGATATTTTTCCACTAGTTGGTTGATTCATGGGCCAACAAATCTAGGGGAATAGACCAATATCTCTCTCTAAATGGTCTCTGTGCAATGAAAATAAGATACTTGTTAGTATCATGCCAATGGCAGGACAAGGATCACCAGAAGGGGCATCAAATTTTATACCACAGCAAAGTGCAAACAAGCACTTTAACTCAAGTGTGGGGAACAGTTCTAAGCTCTCCTTCTGTCCCTATAGATCTTCCTACATACTTTAGGCACCCAGCTTAGGTGTCAAGCAGTATTTTCTCAGCACCTCATTTCAGAAAGTCAGAGGCCATCTCTATATCCTGTGCTGACAAATTCCATAGGTTAACACAATGTCATGTGAAAATATCTCTCCCGCCCTCCAAGTTGAATTTCCCACTCTCTAGCTTTTATTGCTAGCTTTTATTATGAGAGCAGGAGAAAACATCTATTCGCCTTTGCAACATCATGCTTTGCTGTATTTATTTGTAGACTTAAATGCTGTCCATTTTAGTCTATGATTCTTGCATACCACTTTGCCTTTATATTCCTTCTAATATATGTAGCCATGCCATTGCTGCTGAGGTAGGTGGCTCCAACAGGTTATAGCCATGAATTTTGCTTCTTCTGAGTTGCTGTTCTTTGTTTTCTATGTGCTTTTCTTGAAAAATGGCCATATCTATATTACTTTCCAATAAATATTTGGAAATATATTGGATCCTGGGTCTGCTGAGCCCTGCAACATTGATGTGGCACATTCAAATAATATTCCTGATCTCTCTTGCCATTTGGCCTGAAAAGAACTAGAAAATGGCCTAGACATTGGTATTTGAACATAGATCTTTGTAACATTTATATTTTATTGTGGTTTACTAATCTAGGTGAAATGTTGATATAAATTCCTAGTCTATGTATGATATGCCATACACTAAATAAATAAACCTGTTTCCCTTTTTGTGTCCAGCTGGAGTACAGAAAATAATAATAATAATAATAATAATAATAATAATAATAATAATAATAATAATAATAATAATGATGATGATGATGATGATGATGATGATGATGATGATGATGATGATGATGATGATGATGATGATGATGATGATGATGATGATCAGGAAACCCTATACCATTTCAGACAAATGGCTGTCCAGTCTCTTCTTAAAAACTTCCAGTGTTGGAGCATTCACAGCTTCTGGAGATAGGTTGTTCCACTAGTTAATTGTTCTGTCAGGAAATTTCTCCTTAGTTCTAGGTTGCTTCTCTCGCTGGTTGTTTTCCATAGAGAGAAGCAACCTAGAAGCAACTCTTAGTACAGCTTAAAACTAAGTGGGATTATACTTGATTAGTATTTGGAACAGACTGCCAGAAAATAACAGGGCTTAAAGCTGGATTGAGAAGTTGAAAGAAATGTTCTGAAAGTTGCCAAGAAAAATTCAGGGACAAATCCAGGAAGTCACCAGGAATTGAGGAGTTAGGGAGATGAGGTCACGCTAAATGAAATTTCAACTTCACCTTCTATTATATGCTTTTTTCTCTAAATAGCCTCAAATATTCTAATCAATTTATGAACAAAACCTACTGTGATATTTTTAAAAAGTGCTGTTTCTGTTTGGACAGGGAGGCACTGTTGGAATCACCATAAACTGGGACTGTGACCTTGATTGGCCTCAGAAATACTGTGTACCTGTTTACAAGTTCCATAGGCTTTACAATGAAGACAGTAACATCTCGCCAGGCTATAATTTCAGGTATGGATTGACTTTCGTGGTTGTTTCATTTAGTGCACCACATTTCAGCTATTATGTAAACCAGTTTGTGCCTTATACAACTCAGGAGAACAACCGAGGAAAGAAATATCAGGGAATCGAAGTCAAAAGTCAATAGCCAGGAAGCCCAATGGAAATTTAGGATTAACCTGAAAGCTTTCCTAGTTCAGCATACGAACTGAGTACTTCAGAGTATAAGGACACGTCATTGTCTAGAAAACCCAAACTAGTAACATGGAGAAACAGCACACAAAGCAATGGATTGTTGAGATAAGGTGTGATCTCTATTTACAGTCTCTGGATGTTTGCTTTAATAAATAAGTCATTGTAATGAATGTCAGCTTATATTCCCCATACTTAGATGTTTGCCAGGTAGGTTTAGAAGTGGAAATTCTGTTCCAGCTCAATAACTATAGTAGACCAACACCATCTTGTGGATTGCTGAGAACACTGCATGCATGTTTGGTTACACTGGGTTTCATACAGAAAAGTGGTTCTCAATGTGTGGGTCTAGGGATCCTTAAGACCCTTTCAGGTTTGTACAGAATTAAATAATGTTTTAAAATGTTTTAATTAGTAATGTCATCAATATTAATAGATATAACCCAGATAACTACAGCTTTTTAGGGTCCTCTATCATTTTTAAAAATGTAAAGGGGTTCTGAGACTGAAATGTTTGTGAATCGCTGAGATAGTACATCTTCTAGGATTTTTTTTGTTAATAAATTTTGATTTTGATTATATCTTGTGAGATTGTTCTAGTCTCCATCTCCACTCCACCAAAAAAAAATAATGATTGGGCTGGTTAAAGAGCAATCCTGCCATTACAATAATATTGACAACTAGACAACCCATGATGGGTTGGATCATTGTTTCAGAGACATTTCCCTACCTAAATAGAGAAACTAAATGACCAAGGGCAAAAAAAGCATTGGGAGCAGAAATTTCCAACTTTCTATTGGTTTGACTGTGGTTGACTACTCTCTGGCAGCCAATGGTGGGATTGGTCTACCCAGCCTCCAAAGGGCTAGGGCAGGATCACCAGTGGCTGAAAGAGGAGACCCTAGCCCTAATCCCAATGTTCAGTCAGTTCTTAATGAAAGAACTGAACGATTCCCAAAGTATCTGTTTTCTGTGATTCTGTGATTTTATCATTTGGTTCAATGTCTTCATAGTTATCCTTGTGATATATAGCCTATAAAACTGTAATCTATTGCTGTGTGTCATCATCTGTTGCATACATGGTCCAATAATTCAGGACCAGGTGTCAATATTTAAGAAATTGTAATATAAGTTGAGATTTCAAAACCCCAAAGTATTAAAAAAACACATTTACTTTTAAAAGAGGAAGGGAGAAACTTGAAGTACAGGCAAATCCTGACCAAAATTGGTCAAAAGAATCCAGGTGATAAAGGTTCCAGGCCACAAACTGTGGAATCCAAAGTATTGGCTTTGGGCCTAAGGTGTTTAGGAGCAGTTTATAAGAATGACTGTCTATGTCCAAATGAGCCTGGCCATTCTTTTGAAGATCAGCACTACATTCTGATCCTTAGCTGATCTTTATACTGAGCAATACAGGCATTGCCTTTTTGCAGACGCTCTATTCACATGGAACACTCTCCCAAGGGTTGTAAGATAGGTCTACTTTAAAAAAAAAAAGTATTTATTGTATCTTTTAGTACCTGCTTTGAGTAAATGTCGTCTAGAAAGATAGCTCACAAATATTTTAAATTAATCAGTGCATCATTGATAATAACTGTCCTTTGTTCCAGCCAATCTCTTGCTTTCTCTGCTTTATTTTTGAAAGGTATGCCAGATATTACAGAGAAAATGGGAGAGACATGAGGATTCTGTACAAGGTGTTTGGCGTCCGATTTGATATTTTGGTGAACGGGAAGGTAGTGCTTGTTTTTATAAAATAATTCTTTCCATTGTCTTAGGCCCCTGGCTTATCTCTAATAGAACTGTCCTTCTCACAAACAAACATTATGTTGGCTTGTAATCTCAGATTACTTTATCTACATATAACAAACTGTGTCAGGCCTTTATCCAACCTATACAGCTAAGCAGACTACCTTTCCTCAAAGTCCATGGTGGCATAAATAATTCCTCTCTGTCCTGTTTTATCATGACAACAAACTGCAGACATTGATTGACTCTAAGTCACTCTTTAGTTTATTACTTGAGGAATAGCTAGGCTAATTGCTACTTTTGGTGCTTAATTAGTCAACCAAAGCTCACTTGAGGTCTCTAATTGGTAACAGCCCTAATAATAGCTACTGTATTCACATCTTCTTTTCCCAACATCTTTGAACTTTCTTTTCCCTCTATTTATCCAGGCAGGAAAATTTGATATTATTCCAACAATGACTACTATAGGTTCTGGAATTGGTATCTTTGGAGTGGTAAGTGCCTGTATTTTGTCTGTATCTGTATTTTGCTGAGATCTTAAGATTTTACTAACAGTTCATAAGATCCCTAAAACCTTTGCAACTCTCATAGAAGTCCCGTTAGAAACTTTAGCATGCAGCATTCTTGATAGTTATGTATATGTCTAAGTTTGCCCATATAACTACTGTATGCTTCTATGGAAACTGCATGGCCTGCTGGTTAACCCTATGTAGTTTTAAAGAGACTAGCATAGCTTTAAAATCTAGGTATCTCCAAGATGGCCTGCTCTGAGTAGACTCTGCCCATCTGGTGAAATGCCATACTATGGGTCCTAGTGTCAAAGGGAGGTCTTTTAATGATGATGTCTCCCTTCTAGAATAACCTCTCCCTGGATAAGGATTGCCCATCTTTAATAGGTTTTGAAGATACTTGAAAATCTGGTCTTTGGAGGTCCTTTGGAGATAGTATCACATGACCCTCGGACACTGCAACCATTGTAAATATGTGCTAGTTACCAAGCATCTGAATTTTGATCACATGACCATGGGGATGCTACAAAGGTCATAAGTGGGAGGATCGGTCATAATTCATTTTTTCAGTGGCATTGTAACTTCAAATGGTTGCTTAATGAACGGTTGTAAGTCGAGGACTACCTGTAGTTTAACTGCTCCTGTTTAACATGAATTCTGTTCCAGCTTCTAGTGATGGATCCTAAGATCTATTTCTGAAAGACCACGTGATCGTTTCCCCACTACCACCCTTCACTAGAAATCCACACTGGTGTTTTTTTGTACCCACATGCACAGTGGCCACTTACACATTGCCAAAATAAAGCAATACATCAGCAGAAGGAGACACAGCGTGAAATGTACTCAATTAACTGAAATATTGAAATACAAATTTAAGAAACATTACTGTAATTTAAAAAGAAGGAAGCATCATGGAGAAAACTGGCTGAAAGAGCTATAACTAGTCAATCTGCTGCCTAGATACCAACTGATTGTGAATGGGCAAGTGAGGACAAGCAACGTTTATTAAGGAAGTTATATTCTCCAATAGAAATCATGCATTTGTGAGCTTTCTGTCTTTATGGTGGAGGAAAGAGAAAGAAGGAATCAGGCGTGAGAAGCAGACTTTAAGAATATCGTGTTTGTAATTGAAGGGAACAGACAAAAAGGGGAAAAAACAGGCATCTCTTCATTGTTTATTGTATTCCTAATTTCCTAGTGGTCAGTGGGACAAAGGGAGCCAAGAGTTGATGTTTTTACAATTTAGATCCAACAGTATGTATCCAACAGTATCCACAGTTGTCAACAAGTCAAGATTCTTATGGAAGGTTTCAAAATTTGATAAATAAACTTGTAGTCACAGAACATTTCCAAGAGAGAGAAAGCAAATGAGTAAAGTCAGGACAGTAGTTTACAAGATTATTTCGTCTCTAAATTATCGTGGATGCCCATCTCACTTGTATTAAAAAGCAAGGATGATACCTGCCTGCCAATCAGTCATTCTCTATGAGAATGTTAGAAAATGGTGTCCAGTTCTACCTCACCGTATCTTTTAGACTATTTCAATACATTAACTTCATTGGTTTGCAGGTTTTCAATATGTTTTGTTTCTGGCAGGCCTCTGTACTTTGTGATCTGCTCCTGTTAAATTTCCTATCTGACCGGGACTACTACAAGCAGAAGAAGTTCAAATATGTAGAGCGGAATTGTATCAATTCTGTGAGTAGACATCAATCCTATTCAGCTATACACTGAAATATTGTCATTTCCTTTTTGAGAAGGACCCCAAGCACACTTTAAAATGGAAGTCAGAACTGAGAAGATTCACCTGTCCAGTGACATCCTTTCTCATGTTCTGGATTTCTAATCAGATTGGCCATGGGATCCTCATGGGAAGAAATTGTTGTAGAGACTTTCTTTTGTGGGGTAATATAATAATAATAATAATAATTTAATTTATATACCGCCCTTCTCCCGTAGGACTCAGGGCGGTGCACAGCATATTAAAACAGATACAAACAAAATACATCAAAAAACAAAAAAACCCCATAAAACCAAATTAAAAGCCAAATATTGGAAGCTGTGTGTCAATTAAAATTTTCTTAAAATCATCCCTACCTAAAATC